CCACGACGCGGAACCCGCCTGGTGCAAAACGCCCAGCGGTCACATCAAGCGGCCCATGAACGCCTTCATGGTGTGGTCGCAGCACGAGCGCCGCAAGATCATGGACCAGTGGCCCGACATGCACAACGCCGAGATCTCCAAGCGCCTGGGTCGGCGCTGGCAGCTCCTGCACGACTCCGAGAAGATCCCCTTTGTGAAGGAGGCCGAGCGCCTGCGCCTCAAGCACATGGCCGATTACCCCGACTACAAATACCGCCCTCGGAAAAAGGGCAAAGTGGGCACCGCCACCGCCCGCCCGCGTCTCCCGGTGAAGATCAAACCCTCGGTGCTGGGCCGCGTCCCCGCCGCCCGCAGGCAGCCCTCCAAGCCGCCCCCCGAGCCGGGCATCGCGCAGCGCCCGCCGGAGCCGCCCGTCGAGGACCGCCCCGGCACGGCCACGTGGAACGCGGTGCCCACCGGCGAGCGCAGCCCCGCGGCCGCCACCAGCCCCGAGCCGCGCCCGGAGAGCGCGTCCCCGTCTCCCGCACCCGCCGGTTCTCCTCCATCCTCCTTGGGTTCCTCGGACGAGGAGCTGGAGGAGGAGCTGCTGGGCGTGCTGCCCGCGCGGGCACCGGGTGGCACAGCGTGCGGGGCTCTGGACTGGTCCGTCCTGGACAAGGACCTCGATCTGTTCCCGCGGGGCGCGTCCTCGCACTTCGAATTCCCGGACTATTGCACGCCCGAGGTGACGGAGATGATCGCGGGGGACTGGCTCATGTCCAGCATCTCGGACTTGGTCTTTACCTACTGAGTGCAGCGCTCTGCAGGTAACTCCTCTTCTTTTCCCACAATCAGGTCGTCTCAAAAAAACAAACAAGCAAACAAACAAAAAAAAAACAAAACCGAAACCAGCTGTTTACATGCAGGAATCAGGTATTTAGCCTTGAAGCCGCTGGAAGGCAGAGCTCCCTGCTCCCCCCATCCCCCCGGCACACACCCACTCCTCCTCCATCCATCCATGGCGGTGCAGGGCTCAGCCCTCCTCGCTGCACGGCACGCTGCCGTTCTTCGCCCATGAAAGGCGGCTGCCTGGCAGGGTCCCATTGTCACCACCCCCTGCCGGACCCCTTCCCTCTGTAGCTCTGTCCCTGCCTCGCGCTGCCCCGTTTTCTCCTCCTTAGCTCTCCCACTCGCCCATCCCTTGGAGAACAGCCAATTTCCTTTATTATCCTTATTGTTGTTATTATTATTATTATGGCTTTTTTGGATAGCTTAGAAAGCACGTCTTCGATTCTCTCCTGTTCCTCATAGCAGCCCTTCGGGAGCGCTACCTTTGGCCGCGCCGTGCCCGAGGCTCTCCGTGGTGGCACAACCCATCTCAGTCCCTCCCTGCCTGCTGCCCTGTGCTGTGGGGTCCCCGCCTTTGGGGTTGGGGGTCCCTCAGGACCGGTTCTCTCCTTGCGTTTTGGCTGCGGCGCGTTCTCCCCGCCACTCGGTTTGGGGCAGAGCGAAGTTGCACGCACGTGATCCGCACGTGGCGCGGGGAGGCTGCGTTATTCCTCTCTCCAGACGTTTGTGCACAGCCACCCGCACCGTGAGCCCGTGCCGTAGGGCAGCCTGCCCGGCATTAATGCCCAGGCGTGGGGTGCCCATGCCTGTATGGGACCCGCTCCGGGCTCATCCTCCCCAAGGCTGGCGAAGCCTGTGCTGCAGGAAATCTGCCTTAAGCTCTCGCACGGGGCCGCCGCCGCCACCAGCAGCTGATGCTGGCGGAGATGTGGGGTGCGGGCGGTGCTCCGGTGCAGCGATCCTCTGCCGTGTGCCCGGTGTTGGCTCCGAGAGCCTGGGTTTCACCGCAGAGCAGCGCTGCGGAGCTCCCCAGCAGGGCAGCTCCTGCTGCAGCGCTCCTCCGGTCGCGTTTGTCTTTGCTTTCCCCAATGGTTCCTTCCTGCAGCAATCCGCCTCCTCCCGCTGTCTGTGAGCACATGGCCGTGGTGCCGGCAGGGCGGGGGACGCGGGGCTCCATCCCACGTCCGTGTGGCACAGAAGCGGCCTCTGAGGTCCTCGATTCCAAAGTGGGAATCTGGGCACGAAGGATCCCCCTAACCCTACCCGTCCCCGCTTTTGGGGGGATGCCGTTTCCTCCGGTTGCACGCAGCCCCGCGTGCACCCGTTGCAATGGGGCTGGATGGAGCCACGAGCAGGGCGCTCTCAGCCCCTTTGTCCCCCTCTATGGGGAGCAATGTGGGGCTGCTGGCGTCGCCGGAGATGCCACAGGGAGCGCCGTGTCCCCGCTTAAGGGCACCGGGTGCCTCCCGCCCCAGTGGCCGCGGGGCTGCGGAGCCGCGAGCTCAGCGTTATCGATGTGTAGGTGTGTAGAGGTAGCTGTGGTGTGCGTGTGTCTGGTGTTGCGTCCCCGACGGTGTTTAGTAGCCCCGGTGCGGCTGCGATCCTGCGAGGCAGGCGGGCACCGCCCACATGTCCCGATGTAGAGAGCATCCCCCTTCCGTCCCCCCCCAGACCCTCTCCCTCCACTCCAACCCAGCAGAAAAGCCAAATGCCGAGGGGCTCCACGCACAAACCGGGTTTGGGGTTCATTGAAGGGCTTCCCCGGCGCACAGCTCCCACCCGACACCTCGCTGCCTTCTGGGGGCATCGGAGCCCCCCTACCGCCGCCACGTCCCACGCGGGGAGCCAAACCCCAAAAACCGGCAGGGCCCGAGGCCACGGTGCGGGGCTGCATCCCCAGCGTTTCCTCAGGACAGGCTCTGGCTCAGCCCCCCCCCTCCTCCGAGCCCGGCCTCAAGCACAACACCGTGCGCGTGGTCCCCGTCCCCCCGCCCGTCGTGGCCCCTCCTGGTGGATGTTCTGTGCTATGTGATTGTAGTGCATAGAAACCCCCCCTGTCCGTCCCGCCGAGCCCCCATCCCCTCCCCCGGTGTGCGAGCGAGTGTGCGTGCGCCATCCTCATCACTAGAGACAAAGCGAATCGTCATTAATAATAAGTGGAAAAAATAATAATAATAATAATTAAAAAAAATAAAAATAAACCAAACCTCTCTCAGGAAGAAGCCGCCTCGGCGGCATCCCAGCGGGCCGGAGCTGCCGCGAGCACTCGGGGTTCCTTTGGTTGTGTTGGGGAGGGGTCCTGCAGCTGTTGTCTTGGGCTGGTGGAGGGGATGTCCCACCCGTGGCCACCCCGACGGCACGGCCAGGGCCGGTGGTGTGGAAGCTCGGCTAGTGGTTATCCCAGTGTTGTGACTATGGAATAAAGTGTGTTGGTCTGCTTCCACGTGGCTCCGGCTCCTCCTGCGCCGCTCACACCTCCCCAACCTGCACAAATATGGGGACCCCCCAGGGATGTGGGGTTCTGGGGGTCAGAACCCAGCTCCGGCTCAGATGTGGTGGTTCCCATACAGCTCCATGGGGTTCCACTACCAACCCGTGGGTCCCAACACTCAGTGGTGTTCCAATACCAACCCACGCAGGCTGTAGCTGTGTGTGCACAACCGTGCATCCATGAGCACCGTGTGCTCTGTGCATGTGCTCCATGCATGCATGTGCTCACGCAGCCCCATTGGCTCCATGATGTGGCAGCAGGCATTGATCTGGCCCCACTGGATGGGGCCTCAAGGGGAGGGCACACAGCGCTTGCATCACTCCCCCCCCCCCCCCCCCCCCCCCCTCCAGCTGTTGCCACGGCAACAAGGGAGCCTGCAGCATCCTTGGGTACCACAGCATCCCTGGGTACCACCTGCCCTCCCATCCCTGCTGGGGGAGGGGCTGGGCACTGGGCTGGCCCTGCTGAGATCCCCCCCCCCCACTACCCACAGGACAACACCCACTGTGGGACATGGAGGTGCCTCTGCCTACGATCTCGGCAGCACTGAACAGCCTGGCTGTGACCCAGGCATGTGGCAGCCCTCGGCTGTGAGTCTGAGCTCCTATACAGTGACCCCACGACACAGCAGTGTGCTGGGATGCCCCTGGTCCAGCCTGGCCTTGCTGAGCACCCGGTGCTGCCCGCACAGCCACGTGTCCCCACCGCCAGCCCCGCTCTGAGTCACACACAGCAGCGGCTCACAGACGGTGGCAGCTCTCAGCCGTGCAGCAAGGAGTCACGCTGCTCCCTTCACACTGCCCCAAAACCCCATTGGGAAGCAGGGAGTGTGCCCAGCACTGCCTCTATCACTGGGTCCCAGCTGTGGGATCCCACACAGAGACGGGGACAGCAAAGTGAGCACTGCTGGTGACAGCGCTGGGACAGGGAAGGATGTGCTGAAACCCCCCCAGGTAAGCAAGGAGCAGGTAGGGGTGATGCTGTGTATTGGATGCAGGATGGATGTCCCTCCCAAACCCAGGCAGCACCCCCTGCATGCGAGAAGGACCCTGTGGCTTCACTGGGGTTGTGGCACCAGGATGTTCCCAGCAATGGGGGACTGCTGCTCCCCCCCTGTGAGGCCTCTCCGGCGCCAGGCTTTGTTCAGCATCACAGCCCAGCACCGAAAGGGTCCCACACGTCATCTCCCCCCTCTCACACACCACGCTGCAGGGACGCAGTGACGAAGGGCTGAGCAGGCAGTTCCCATGGCAATGTCCCTACGGCGGCGGGGAGGGACACGGTGCTCTGACTGCGGTGGCTGCGTCCCCGCACCCAGCAGCCCCCCAGCCATGGGGACAAGGTGGAGGCCACGTCCCTCCCTGCCACCGCCCCTCCATCCCTATTGGCGCCTATGGGGCACTGCAGGTGGGCTGATGTGGGTCCCGATCCTGCTGGGTCTGTCCCAGATCAGGCAGGGCACGGAGTGCCCCCTCCCCTATTGCATCCCAGGGGATAAGGGCTTCTCTGTCCCAGGCAGAAACGGCAGTCCCTCTCGGTGCTCCCCAGAACGGGCAGGGGGGCACATCTGGCACCAGCACCCCATCCCCTGCCCTGTGCCCAGAGGAGAACTAAGCCCTATGGGTGCTGTGGCTGTGGGAGGGCTCAGGTGATGCAACAGCCCCCCACGACCCCCCCAGGCCAGATGCCCACCCTGCAGCCCTCCTGCAGCTGCGGCCGCGGCCCCAGCGTGGCACAGGGGAAGTGGTACGGGGTGCGCTCCTACCTCCACCTCTTCTATGAGGACTGCGCCGGGGCCAGCCCTGATGGGGACACAGATGAGTCTTCACCTTCCCATCCCCGTGGTGTATGGCCCTCCATTATCTGGAAGGTAAGAGATCCCCCTCTCCCAATTTTTTCTTCCCTCTCATCTTGTGTGAAATACTCAGGCGCCCCCATACCTGCCGTGCACTCCTCTAGGCTGACCCGCTCCCCATTCCTGTTCCCAGGTGACCCTCTCCACAGGCACTCTGTTTCTGCTGGTGGGAGTGGCTGCCCTGACCACAGGCTGGCTGGTGCCCCCCAGGCTGGAGAGCATCGAGGAAGAGGATCTGGTGGTGCTGGACGTGCAGGCCATGCGCTACAACCACGTGCTGAGTGCGTGCCGGCTGCTGGGCACGGCGCTGTGCATCACAGCTGCAGTGCTGGGTGCTGTGGGGCTGCTGTGCTGTGTGCTGGGCAGAGCTTGGGGTGGCCCCCAAGAAGAGGAGCAGCAGCTGTCGCCCATCCTGCACAGCAGCCCCCAGGGCCCCGTGGTGCCCTTCGGTGCCTCCCAGCTCCATGGTGTCCAGCCCCGGCAGGAGGTGTGAGTGCACTGGGTGCACTGCTGCTGCTAGGTAAAATGCTGGGAAATGCCCTGCTTGAGGCGTGGGGGTGGGCAGAGCGGGAGGAGGGGAGGCTGCTTGGGCCGGGGTGCTGCAACCCAGTTCATAGATGTGGTGGAGATGGGATGGGATGCAATGGGATCGGATGGAGCAGGCAGCTGCCCAGCAAAGCCCTGATCCTGACCTGACACAGCCTGATCTCAGCCCAGATCCAGCCTGGACTCAACTAGATGCCACCTTGGATCCCTTTCTGGCACCCAGATGGCTGACCCCGGATCCCAGCTGTGCCACAGCTCAGTGCCTGGAGCATCCTGTGCACCATCAGCCACCACCAGGTCCTGGCCCAGGACATCCCAGCTCCTCCACCTGCTCCCCAACCAGCCGTGGGGTCGGACAGGCACAACCAGCAGCTGCAAACGCCCGATGCTGCCAGGTGCCTGCAGTGGGAGCTCTGCCCCCAGCACAGCACCCTGCCCTGCAGCCCCACGCGTTCATCCACGCCGCAGCCCTTGGGATGGAGCAGATGCTCTGCCTTGGTTTCCTTCATTTTGCTCTTTCTGGGGTGAATAAAAGACACGTGGCTGTGGGCTTTTCTTGCTGCTGAGGCTCAGCTCCGGGGCAATGAATGTTGTGCATGGGGGATGTGTGCTGCAGCAGCAGTGCATCAGAGCTGGGCAGGGCTGCTACAACACAGAGCACTGCCAGGCACAGGCACCCACCTGCCCCTCACTGTCCCAAGGGTTGCTGCACAACACCCAAGATCATTTTCTTTCCCTCAGTGAAGACAACTGAGTACAAATACCCTGCCAGGTTGGGAGCAGCCCTACGCCAACACAAGGGACTGAGCCCACCAAGGGGTCTGTGCAGCTTTCAGATGCAGCTCTGCAATCCACACAACATTCAAGCATCCCTTGCTTCCTTGAGGAAGGGGCCGCAGGGCCTCTGCTTTTGCATTCCTTCTGAAGGGCTGAGGGCACTATTAAGAAAATTGCTCCTCCAGAGGAAGTCAGAGCAAGCTAAAAATACGCCTGGCTGAGCTGGTAAACACGGCCACCAGCCTCATGCAGAGCACAGGGACACCACAGAGGGGCACAGTGCCCAGCAGTGCGGGATCTCCTCCCGGCCGGGCAGCCAGCCCCAGGCACACCATGGGCTGCTGGGTCAGGCTATTTCCATCCCTGTGCTGCCAGCCTTGCTGCTGGCATAGGGAAGGCTGGGAGAGCCAAGGGCAAAAGCGCATGCTGGCATTCCAGAGCCGTGGGCAGAGGGAGGGCAGCAGCACAAAGGCACCCGGCTGGCTCCTGCTCCTCTTCCCACGCTGTCCTGGCTGCTGTGGGATGGGACGCGGCCCCAGAGCGCACGGCAGCGCCGGCCCCTGGTGGCACAGGGGGAGGAAAACGTTTAGTAACTGTTTATTTTACAGCAATAGGGTTTGTACAAATCTGCATTTACACAGGTATGTATAAGTCTGTACAGAGTCACTGGAGCACCCCAAGAGACCACCCCCTCGCTCACCCTTCCCCTGGGCAACGCAGGAACTAAAGTGCACGGTGGGCAGAGAGCAGGGGGCTGCAGGAGGGCGCTGTGCCCCCCACATCCCTCACCTGGGGGGTAGGCAGAGGGCACCCAGGCACTGCACTGCCCACGTGTGGCAGGGGACCCCCAGCAGCACCTCCAGCTCATGGCACAGCCACCACAAACTCTGGTACCACAAATTTCTAAAGTGCAAAGTCACAGCCTGTTTCCCTCACTGTTACTGCCTTGGCAGAGGCTGCTGCTGCCCCATACTGCCAGTCCCCACACGTGCAGGAAAGCACTCTGCCTTCAGCCACGGAAACAGCCACACAGGCTGCCACCAGCCCTCAGGAGAGGCAGAGAGAGCCCTGGTGTTGGCACCAGTAAGTGGCACGGCCAGGAGATGCCAACACAGGTGAGGGACCAGGTCCTGCTTCCCTACCTGTGCCACAGAGCGAGGGCCCACGGGGCAATCCAAAACTTGCATGGATGCGGCGATGAATTTGCACACAGGTGGTCAGGGACAGGAGGGTGCTGAGCCTTGCAGGGCATGAGCTTCCTTCTATAACCAGAAATCTACAACTCTTCAACCAGCATCTGCTTTTTAGGTGTGCAGCCCCTAGGCACAGCACGGATGGCTTTGGGCACAAGACAGCAGGGGCAGGCAGCTGGGTGGGAACCAGTCGGGGAAGGTAAGGGCACTTGTGGGAGGTTTAGCAGTTCAGGGGGGAGGTAGAGGCATAGAGTGTCTGTTGGCTTTGTGTCAGTGGATACGGAGCTCTTGGAGCAGAATTTGCTGCTGAGCTTTCTTAGCAGGCAGGGAGCAGCAAGGCTGGGCCAGGTGGGGCATGCAGCACTGGGGTGGCCTTTGTGGGAAACCCCTCATCTGTGTTATTCTGAGAGGTGTCACTTAATCTGATCAGCTTGTGGGGGTGAATTATGACAGATGTCTGCAGCAGACTTTTTTGTCCTGTGCAAACTGTTTCTAAGTGTAAAAAAAAGCCATTCTCCACTTTGGAGTCTGCTCCCAGAGCTGTGAAAATGAGCAGCGTTAACGGCTCTGCTAATGCTGGTGGTGATGGGATCTGACACAGGCAGGATGAACAACGCCTTCATCACCTCACTGACCTGATAACATGACTGCGCTGCTGTTGCCAGCAGAGGACCCCGCCAGACCTGTCCCCTGCAAGCTGACCAGTCCACAAACAAGGAAGTGGAATCACAAATTGTTATGCATTGGAGATGACCTCACGGCGGGGTGCCGACAGGGGCTTGGTACAGGTTTGGTTCTACTGAGAGGCTGCCTGTAAGGAAAGAGAAGGGTCAGAGCACTGGTGAATGCAAATGGAGAAGGCAGGCTGCCCTGGCAGCCAGAGTGATACAGAGCCAGAGGGCTCCTCTGTTCCACAGGAGCACGTACAAGCCTCTCACCACTAAGCAGGCCAAACCCTGCCCTGACACTCCCCCCTAGGTGAGCACCTGCCCTCACTCCCACTCCCAGCACCTCCTCACTTCCCAACAGAGGAAGTGGGATTGCCTCAGCACAGCCCACGCACAGCTCACCACTCGTGGTCACTTGCACAAGGCTGGAAGTCAGACTCATCCATACAGTGGCAGCGTCCACCTGCTTGCCCCTGCACGGGGAGGAGAAAACAAGGTGAGTGTCGGTGTGGGGAACAATCCTGCTGGACTGGTTCCCATCAGTCTCTGTCACAAAGGCCAAGAGCATCACGGGACGCAGCAAGAACAGAAAACTCTTCAGACAGGTTGTTTCCAGACACGTCCTTCCAAACATCATTCCGTGTCGACGTGGGATGTGACGACAAGGTAAGCACTTCCTTTGGCGTCAGGGGAAAATCTGTAGTTCAAACTTAGGTGCCCACTCCAGTGCACTCTTCACCACAGCCAGGGCAGCTGCTCCCAGTGCCACCGTCAGCCCCATCACTGCCAGCTTGACAAAACGGTTGGTCCTTGGCTTTGTCAAAATGGATTTTGTCCGCTCCTCCCCTCGGAGCCTCTCCCTGAAGCGCTGTCTCAACACAGTGTCTGGTCTCTGTTGCACTGATGCCAACTCAAAGTCCTTAAAAGTGGAAGCCGCGGTCCTGCAAGAGAAGAAATGGGTCAAGAAGTGCCCTAGAGCCTCCTGTCTGGGCAGGGAGGTCTTCACCAGGCAACGAGACCCGGCCAGGGCAAGGTGCAGAACCCAGGCACAGCTCCTACAGCGGGGGCACGAGGCCGCCCTGCACTCACCGCTCAGCCTGCTGCTGTGCCGCCTCCCTGGCGAGCTCAGATGGAGGAAACTGAACAAAAAGGTCCCCTGCTCTGCTGATCAGAGTCTCATAAGGAAGGTCCTGTGGGATCTGGGACAGGAGGTGGTGCACCGAGGCCATGTCGCACTCGCAGTCCAGAACTTCCTGCTCCCGGTAAAGCACAATCTGCAGAGGACAGAGAGCACTGAGCACAGCCAGGGAAACAGGGGCAGCTCCTTGTCCCTCTTTGACACTTCAGGGCCAGCAGAGAAAAACATTTCACTTCTGTCTGAAAGATCTGCCCTTCCTCAGGGGATACACTGCACTGAAACACAGCCCATATGGGAAGAGAAACGCAGAGGGCAGCAGAGCACCAGCACTGCCAGACCCTCTGCGCAGCCCCGCAGCACCTTGCAGTGGCTCAGTACATCCCCTGCCACCATTCCAGCCAACACGTACCACAGCAGCAAAATAAATGGGCATCAGTGGATGGCAAGCCAGGAAGAAGTCGTATAATCGCACGACGTGCCTGAAGTCAGACAGGACGTGTCCAAACCACGTGATGAGCCAGCTGAGAGCAAAGATGGTTCCCACCTCCGCACTGCACAGAGAGAAAGCACAGTTAGGTCAGCTGCTGCTGGCAGCTTGGAGACACTGCTGAAGCACAGCCAGCTTTTCACATTCAACCCTGAAACTTAGCACTGCTCTAGAATTTGCAAGCTTGATACCCGGAGGCAGGCTGGCTGTGAAACGCTGACAGACAGCTGCCCAGAAAAGGGCTCTGCACAGACCCTGCTGACTTACCTCCTCATTTCTGCTTTATTCTATTCATGCTACACTTCTGCATCCCTGCTGCACAGCCTGGCAATTATCCCCAGATCTAGCAACAAACCACAGAGATGCAACAGCAACCCCAAAACTGCCAACTGCTAACTTGCAGCTTCGTATGACATGGAATGCAAAGTAATGCAACCCTCAGCTTTTCCAACACAGGCCACTGGGGTGAAGACACCATCATTTAAAAGCTCCCAGGATAGGCAGCGTGTTTGGGTCTGCTTGTAAGCAGGGTGCCACGTGGCTCTGGACCATTGCCATGAGCTGTGGGCCAGCTGGTGACTCACAAGAAGCCTCCGTGGTGCTGGGGACAGACTGGTGCAAATGGCCCCAAGTACGATAATGTGAGAGAGGTAGGGCAGAGCCAGGGAACGTCTGCGTACCTCTGCATGAAGTCATGCACCTCAGGGTTCACCTGGTCTATGATGGGCATCAGGTAATTCAAAATGTGCTTGGTATTATCCATTGTTGGGTCCATAAAATCCCTGAGAAAAGATTTAGAAAAGAATTCTGTCAAGAAACAACATCAGTGAGTTTCTCCTCCAGTGAGGCACACAGGAAGTAAATAAATGCACTGCAATAAACAGCTTTGCTGGGAGGGTGGCTCTCAGTCCCAGGGAATTCTGTTTGTAAAGCTCCCTGCCTACCAGTCTGGGTGCACACAAAACCTGGACCCAGACCATCACAGTGGTGTCAATGGACACTTCTTTCTTTGCTGTACACACGAGCCCTAAAGCCTTTTCAGCTTGTCACATGGGAGAGGAGACAAAACCCCTCCAAAGCGCTCACCAACTTGAAGGCTTGCTCTCATTTCAACACACAAAGAGGAAAGGCACTTAACCTGGGCCTTAGGACACTGGCTGTACAGACCACAGTTTCAGTACAGAACTTCCCCAGGGCTCTATAAAGGCTGAGTGGGAAGCACTGTGCTGAGCCCTAGGAGCCAGAGAGGCCCTGACAGGACACGTGGCCAACAGAACCATGAGTAATGCATGTTTGCTGCTTTTTCATCTTCAACAGATAATACAAACTAACTGACAGCCCTGTTAGCCCTTCCCCAGAGCACAGCTGCCTGCAATCCCACGCGCCATCTCCAGCAGCACCTCCTGGGCGCAGACAGACAGAGAGGCCAGCCCGAATGGGGCTCTGCTTCAGGACAGGCCACCCCTCTGCCCCCACAAGTCACAGCAGCTCCTCTCCCCTGGTTGAGTCTCTGGGTACCTGAGATGATGCGTCGAGAGCTTCTCCACCAGAGCTGTGGCCAACCTGTCCCCAACCACCAGGAGGAAAGTGACCACGATGTCGTGGTAGCCCTGGTAGTAGTGCAGCTGCGGGTTGCGCTTCAGGACGTGGAGGATGATGTCAATGAGCTCCTCCTGCAGCCCCTCTCTCTGGTCATCCGGCATCCCTGCGGGGACAAAGCACTGGTGAGATGGGCTGCATCACC